ACAGAGGTGGAAAGGAGATTTCCTTTCACTGACTACTCTTCTGTTCTTTTTAAATTTTTGTACATTGTATGTGTATATTGATTTAAATTTTTTAATTAACTAAAAAACCAAACTCTACTTAAACAGAGAACACAATTTTGCATCTTTATGTGGGCTAAGAAAAACTTTTGGAAGAATAATGGGAATGGGTTTGAGGAAGTGGTGTTTATGCCCTCTGCGGGTCCCTGTGTGAGCCCTGGCACCTATGTGTGGAACAGCAGCCAGGGCTGAAGAGGAAGCCAATGTGGCAATAAAACAGGGCTTTCCTGATGTGGTGCTAATTGGCCTCACAGGGACCATTTTACCCAAATGAGTTCATCAACCCAGGCAACATATGGTCACCTATCAAAATTCTGAAGTTTGATTAAATGGTTTACTAATACTTTATTTTGCTTGCTATTTATATTTCAACTCTTTCAGGGCAGATGGAAGGGAATATCAGCTTTATTGATTAGTTCTGACTCTAAATGTCAAACGGAGGAAAAGATGAAGGAAATTGCTATAGTAAATTTTCTAGTTATGTTGGAATTCGCTGCATTTTAAAATATTGTAAAGCTGGAGAATTCATACATGGATATATGAAAAAGTAATTCCTGACAAAATACAGAAAAATTATTTCTTTTAGAATTTCTTTGTGACAGGTGCCTGTTCCAGTCAATCAAAATGTAATTTCCCCATAATTATGCACAGAGTGAAAAGAACTTAGGAAATATTTAATATGCAGAGGCTTATCATGATGACTGACAACTACTGTAGGAAATCCACATCTAATTCTCCTACAGAATGCAAATTTGAGACTGAGCTCAGGAAAGGGCTCTGACTCACTTAAGAAATAACAATTTACTCTGCATTAATGAAAGAGCCTATCATATAGCATAAGAAAATTATTTCAGTTAGCCTCAAATTAGAAATATTTCAGAAGGAAAATGGCCTCCTGAGTTGAGCATTAAAATATTCATGAAAAGAATATCTTCAAAGAGATTAATAATTACAAATGCTGTGTTCAACATATGCATACACAACACTCCAAGGAAAAATGTTCTGAGGTCTAGGAAGTGCAAGATTTTCAAGCTAAGAAATGACTTCAGGAAATTCAAATGAGATAGTAAGTACAAAGCCAAAATCATTCTTCTTACTAATTAGGAATTACGGTTTCCCCTTCCTCCTTCAAGTTTTCCCATTTCAGGAAAAGGTACCACTTTCACAGTCTTTCCAGCTAGACACTGGGAGTCATCCTAGACATTTTCCTTCAGGCCCCAGTTAAATCAACCACTAAGTACCAAGTTCTGTTAACCATGAATATTTTGTGAACCTATTCCTTTCTGTCCATCCCTTTTCCCCATTCCCTAATTCAGGCTCATTTCTTTTCCCTGCATCATGGCACAGTTTCCTTACGGAGCTGCACTCCTTTGTTCTTGCCCACTTCCCTATTATTCTTCCCTCTTCAACTCTACCCTCTACAGTGCCACCAACATGACCTTAGACAAATGTGATTGTTACATTCTCTGATCAAAACTCTTCAGTGGTGCTGACTGCCTGCAGGGTGTGTCCAGGGGTACAGGGTGGCATTCGAGATACAGCACCCATATGTCAGCTCCCATCACTGGATGGCTTCTACTTCAGGCTCTTGAGATAACACTCTGTACTTTTTGTCAACTGGCAATATCCTCCCCCCTTTCTGAGGCACAGCTCACTGGCATCTCCAACTTTCTGAATCTTCGGGGTGGGCTCAGAGACATTCTCTCACAATGCCTTGACCATATTACAGCATTTATCATGTTCTACCAAAATGCTTATGCTTATAAAATGTGTTTATATCCTTCATCAAATTATAAGTTCCAGGAGGACAAGAATTGTGTCTAAATATCTTTGTGGCCTCTAACACCTTATACAAGCTTGAAACACAGTTAGTAGCCAAGAAATTAAACTGAAAGGAGCTGTATGATAAACAGATTAAAAATGAGTTGAATAAGTAATTCAATCAAAATACATTTAGGTTATTGTAAATAATGTATATCATAAAAAACTAGAAGGCTGCTTAAAATATGAGCTTAACCTAAAACATTCAAACTGCTGTTCAGAGCTAAATGTCTTATTCCAGGTGGTAATTTGTTGAGAAAAATAAATTTTTACTTATTTATATCCTATATCATCTCTAAAATGATTTGAGATAGTAGGGGAAGAAATCAAAATAGCCTAAGCTCAAATTTAAAAAAAAAGATCTTTTGGAAACAACTATGTAACCATGTTTGCTTTTTCCTTATAAAACATTCAATAAAGATAATTCATGAACTGGGTTTTTCTTTTTTCCCCCCATGAGCTGGCTTTTAAAATATACATTGAAGGCCAGGTGTGGTGGCTCACACCTATAATCCCAGCACTTTGGGAGGTCGAGAGGTGGGAGAATTGCTTGAGCCCAGGAGTTCAAGACCAGCCTGGGCAACACAGTGAGACCTCATCTCTACCAAAAAAAAAAATTAGTCTGGCACAGTGACATGTGCCTGTAGTCCCAGCTACTCAGGAGGCTGATGCAGGAGGATCACTGGAGCCCAGGAGTTCAAGGATGCTGTGAGTGATGTTTATGCCACTGCACTCTAGCCTGGGTGATAGAGCAAGACCCTGTCTCAAAATAAAAAAAAAAGATAAATAAAATAAAATATATATAGAAAGACCTTCAGCAAAGCAGTGAAATAAGTCTAAAAAATTCCTTCCTATGTTTACAAAATAATCACTTTAATTAAGCAAAGATGCTCCTTGCAAGACTATACTAGCAAAAGTTTTTAAAAATAGTTTTAAATACAACCAAAATTTTCATAATGCTTTAAAAGAGTTAAAGTTGAAATGGCAAGGAAGATCAATTTAATTTACAGGATAGAATAGAACAGGCAGCATCACAGCAACAATAACTAGCAACTATTTCATTCATGCCTATTTATTACTTAATGTATAGACACCAGAATATCACTGCTTAGTCACTATTGAGCATTAAAATACTGGTCCATCGAATAAGAAAGTATGCAAACAAAATAACATAAGACAGTAACAAAATACTAAACTTGAGCATTTTCACATCTAGCTCTAGTCTTTGGTATTTAAAGTGTGTTGGAAGCTAAGAGCATCAACCTTACCTGGGAACTTGTGAGAAATGCAGTCTTTCAGGCTCCATTCAAGACCTACTCAATCCGAATCTGCATTTTAATAAGATCCCCTGATGATATTTAAGCATATTAAAGCTTGAAAAGCATTGTTTTTGGTGACCTCCGAAATTCTCCCACATAAAATTCTAGTTGAAAAATAGAGAATCCTTGACTAAAGCCCACCTCTAAGTATAAAACTAAGGATGAATTTTACTGCCATCTTCTGTGCTCATTTGGAGCAAAAGCGTTAAATACTAAATTGGTTCCTGTTTTAGAGAACATCTTATACACAGGCTGGCTTCAATACCAGCTCAGATTATTGAACCAGGTCTTTGCTTCCTCTAGAATGGTACTCAGTCAATGTGGATTGAATGAACTGAGTGAATAAGCTTGGATAGACAAAGACATATCAAGGCCACTCTGAATAGCTGAATTCATACCACGAGAGTGTAACTATGTTAAAGGATTTGGTGCAACTCTAAAGAAGACTTGAGTTAGATATTATTTAAATACCATCATCTTATTATAAATAACAAATACATCCAAAAATATTATTTCTAATTAAATCTGCACACCTAAATAAATATAAAAGGATAACTCCAAGCATTCTTGTTTTAGTTCCACGATTCCTTTTTGAGAGCCTAGCGCACGCAGAAAGCTCTGAGTGGTATCTGCTACCTCAAAAGGACGTAAAGATGTAAAAGACACAGTTCCTGCCTCAAGAAAATGAACGGATGAGGTGACTGATGGATCTTCAGTATGGTCAAGCTCAGGCCAGTCAGAGCCAGTAATCTGGCCTCAGAGGTAGACATACAAATTTGTAATGTGTAAGCCTAAAACAAGATCTCCAAAGTCACAAAATGTAACTTGTGTTCCTGGAGGACATGAGATAAACATAAATGATATTACAATCGAAGGAGATTTTTAAAACATTTCACAGCATAAATATGATCCAGTATAGCAGAACTGGTATGATGCAGTACCTTAATCTTATAAAAATGTCCTTTTTAAGAAGACTTCATCTTAGAAAGAGTGGGTCTTGATTTAATACTTTCTCCTCTAGGTCATCAATCTGAAAACTAGAAGATGCTGAGTTTGACCAAACAAAAAAGATGAGGTAAGTTGCAAAAGTTGACTCAGTTTTCACATTTGGAACATGGCAGTAGGAGTTCTTTCCTAAATGACTGTATAGCAATGAACAACCATCTCAGATTACTGACATGGAGGAAGCAGAACATTTAGGTCAGAGTGCAAGGCAAAATCTGAATAGCATGCTCACTCATACTGAGAGTGGGTATGCTAGAAATACCAAAACAAAAGACTAGAGATTTCAAAATCTCTACAAAGAATAACCCCCGCTTAAAGCCAAGTAACATGTTATTCTTAATTTGTATAATATAGAGGTTATACACATTCAAATATAATTACTACTGTTGGCTGTGGAGTGAGACAATCCTCCATGGCCATTGCATATTCTGCATATTCCTGTTGGGAGTCGAAGAATGTAAGGTCCTAACCTCTCTTCACCTGGATCATGTCTCAGCGCTCTGTTTGTAGTGAATAATCCTGAGGGATGAGATAACGTCTTCCCCAGGACAAATACCCCAGGCTTGTTACTTCTTGCTCCAACAGCACTGTATCCCCCAAACTCAATATTCCTCTACCGCAGCACGACGCATTGCATGTGCAGGCATCCACAACGGGAACTTTGCCATTGCCCCAGAGTTAACATTAGCTTATAAAGAGGGTGAAATTCAAGAATCCTGCACGGTTTTTGACACTAGCATTGAAAAAAATCATTTCTATTATTAAGATTTATCTTACCGGATCCAGGTTCTTAAACAGCAGGATGTCTTTGCAAGCCTCTTGCAATCTATTTCTTTGATCATCAGTTTTTGGATGTATAATCTAAAAGGACACAAGATTAAAAAACAAAAACAAAGACATGAGTCAGTACCATATTACTCAAAGAGATAAAAATCTCCTAACAAAAATCAGTAGGAATGTTAGAAAGAACTGTTGGTGCTCAAGTTCACTTTAGGTTAATGCTGATATTCACTTTTAAATGACTAGTAACTACCAGCCCACTAAGTAAGGGAAAGTAATGCAACCTGTCTCAGGGGAGTAGTACACATTCATCAATATACACTTGAATGTTTTCCAAAAGAGTGTTCCCCCAGGTTAGCAAGTTCATTACGTAAAGGTCTGTGACTGGCTGGAAAGACTCCAAAGCTCCCAGCCAGTGGGGGCACAGACAAAAGGACAACAGGTTACAATAGCCACACTCAAAATCTGGAGGCTAAGATTAATACTCTACTGAGTTTAATACTCTTTAAGATACATCTCTTTCCTTTGAAACTTGATAAACTGTCTAGAAGCAAGTAAATTCTTAAATGTATATTGCATTAGATATTAAATACATTTTTACACACATCGTAACTGCCCCCACAGTGAGTAAGTAATTTTCAGAGGAGAGCAAGCAACCATGCACTGCCGCTCCGAAAGAATGTGTGTTCAAGGGAAAATGAATCCTAGGAGTACTCATGCACCCATTTTAGAATGAACTCAAGGAAAACCACCATACTATAGTCTCATTAAACTTTTATTCCAAGAGGGTGATGACTGACAGAATGCCCCTGGCAAGTGTGGCTTTCCAGCTCTCTTCAGAGTCCCTTTTGACTAGAGGAAGGCTCAACTGACTTGGACCAAAAAGTCCATTCTTCTGTGAACATTGGTAGTTTGTAACTATAAAATGAGTTAGAGAGGCAAGGGATAGTCCTAAAAGCAGCAGACATGGGGTTGGTTTCCTGGAGACCTATACACCACCTTTTCCCATCCCAGTGTTCACTTGGAGTGTCCGTGGGAGCAGATGGGCAGGGCCCACCTCTTCAGTCAGCCGGCCCCATCACAGCAAGCGGAATCGGGCGGCAGTGGATGTATGATATGGCCGCAAACATAGCAAAACTCACAATGGAAAATTTAAACCAGCATTTCAAACCATATCGGATGGCTGAAAATTAATGAAAATCATAAGCCTGAGAAGAATTGGGGAAATTTTCAGTATCAGTGTACTATTTCTATGCCAACTATGTATATGTGCACTATTTATATGTATTATTTATAGACTACATAAAAGACTATTAGCTAGTGAGAGAAGTCATTGCGTTTTCCCCTATAAGGATAATGTACATATAAACCTTTGTTTACTATCTGATCAATATTCATCTCAAACTAGATTCTAAGATGACACATGAACACAGAAAAAGTAGACGCTGGTGCCTACTAACTCACTGCTATACAAGAAATCTTGAAAATTTAGATATTCACTAAATCACACCAACCAAAAATCACTTCTTCCTCTTCAAATGAGGAAGGCTAACAATAAAACAAAACAAAAAATTATTTCTCATTTCACAAAATCTATCTAGAGCTTCAAACTGAGGCAACCGTAAACACCTATCTGCAAAGAAGCTCTATTCTCAGAGAGAAAAGGCTGGGGAGACATCAGCATCGTGCACCTCCTTCGCTCTTATTGCCAATTTAAGTCTTTCTCCCTGACCAATCCCTAAGAAGCCTTCACACAGAAGCCCAGCTTCTTCCTCCTCTCTCTCTCTTTCCCGCTACTTCTGTTCCTATCGATTAACACTTCTAAATTGTCTCTGGGTCTGGATCCTGCTGCCAAGGCAATTGTCCACTGCTCTGCTCCCATCTCCTGTCTCCCTCTCCTGCTGTCACTCCGCAGGAATACTGATCTCTGTTAAAATCCCACTCTTCCTTCTGGAAAACATCTCCGATGTCTTACTCTTCTGCCTTGTAACCACCTGCTCGGAACCATGCTGTCCCACTTCTTAAGACTTTCTTCTCTCCCTGCTAGGCTTGGCATGATCCTAGTAAGAGATGTGCCTCTGGGTCACTGAGGGTTCAGCAATATACCCAAAGTGTGACTTTTATTATATTAGAGGCCACTTTGGTTTTTATTAAAACATTTCTGATTTCGGGATAAAAATCTTACCTGTTAAACAAACATTTAGGTAGCATAAATATGTGCATTTGTGTAGCATAAATTGCATAAATATGTGCCAGGTACTATTTTAAGGGTTTTATAAATATTAACTCATTTTATCCTAGTAACAGAACCCATGAAGCAGGTACCATTTTAGAGTTAAGAAAATGAACTTGCCCAGGTAATTTCTCCAATATCACCCAGTCCATCAGCTGCAGAGCCAGAATTTATCCCATGGAGGCTGGCTACAGAGTCTATACTTTAAACCAAGGATTGGTAAATACATTTTTGTATGGCCTCTGGACTAAGAACTGTTTAACATTTTTTAATGACTAGAGGGGAAAAAAATCAAACAAAGGATGATATTTCCTGACACATGAAAATTATATAACATTCAAATTCCAAGTGTCTATAAATAAAGTTTTAATGGAACGCAGACATATTCTTTCATTTATGTACTATCTATGGCTACTTTTAAGCTACAACAGCAGAGCTGAGTAGTTGCAAATGGGACCCTATGGCCCCCCACAAAGCCTAAAATATTTACCCTCTGAAATTAATGCATTTTTTGGTTAAAAAAAAAACCAAAAAACATTTACAGAAAAAGTTTGCCAACTCCTACTTTAAATTTCTGCTGCCTTTCAATTAAAAAAAATTAAAGAACCAATTAATAAATAAGGTTTACTTGGCCATTTTCTTTAAAGAACACTGTATATCTGTTTCGTTAAGCAAAAGAATCTGTACACAGAGCTGAAAGTAATCTTTTAAAAACTTAAATCAGAATACCCATCCTCCAACTTATACACTTAATGGACACTATCACGTTTGCTAAGAATTAAATCCCCATTCCCTCCTTCTCCCCTGACTTCAGCCACTCTGCCCAACCCGACCTGTCTGGACCTGTCTTCACAGAGAACCTCAAAGGCCTCCCCTCCAGTGGGCTTAGGCCAAGCCCAAACTGCGGGCTTCTGGAAGACTCTCCCTGCCTGTCCTTCCAGTTTCAACCCAAGGAAGCCTTCTCCAACCCCTCCACAGAACTAGGGCCCCGCTGGTTTTGGAGTGTGTGTTTTGTTTTAATTTCTACACTCTGTTTCACTGTCCCTTTAGTACTTCATATTTTGTAATTAGCCATTAATTTACTTGCCTAGTGTCTGCGTCTGCCGCTAGACTCTAAGCTCTAAGGGCAGAGACTTGTCCATTTTGCTCACCACTGTGTAACTAGCACTGGGCCAGTTATGCAGAAGGCACTCCAAAATAATTTTGTGGAGTAACTAAACAAAGAAATACTCTACTCTGAAATGTATCAGCTCTTCTTCTCTACCAATTTCTTCTACATGCTAGATGTATACAATCCGTAAATTTTCATTGACTGAAGGCATTCCAACTAAAATCCAATTTATTATTTTCCAAAATGAGTCTTAAGGATTTAAATTTTATTTGAGTCTATATGAGAGTATAAATACCTATGTATACCAGAGATTTTAAAAGTTGGTGATATATAGAGTCCCAGAAAAAATACAAAATGTCCAAAAAAATGTTACTTTATCAAAATACAGCATACATTTTCCTCACGGATATTTTCCAAGATCCATATACACATAATTAATTTTGCAATCTGTAATAATCATTCCCAAGGGCTAGGGTACAGTCTGTCTTATAGTTTCTAAGGCAAAAAAAGTATAGTTTTTAGCAATATATTTAGAGGGGAGAATACTCAAGGTAATTAAGAACCTAAAGGCACTTTATTATAGTCATGAACATACAATTAACACATTAATTATAAAAAACTATTAAAAATAACTTAAAAAGGTGTTACAGGCCGGGCGCGGTGGCTCACGCCTGTAATCCTAGCACTCTGGGAGGCCGAGGTGAGCGGATCGTTTGAGCTCAGGAGTTCGAGACCAGCCTGAGCAAGAGCGAGACTCCATCTCTACTAAAATTAGAAAGAAATTGGCCAAACAACTAAAAATAGAAAAAATTAGCTGGGCATGGTGGCGCATGCCTGTAGTCCCAGCTATCTGGGAGGCTGAGGCAGGAGGATCGCTTGAACCCAGGAGTTTGAGGTTGCTGTGAGCTAGGCTGACGCCATGGCACTCTAACCGGGCAAGAGAGTGAGACTCTGTCTCAAAAAAAAAAAAGAAAAAAAAAAGGTGTTACAAAGGACAATTCTGCAGTAATACCCAACCCACAAAGATTCCTCCTTCTCTAGGAACTGGTCTTACTTATAGAAGTGGTTCCCAAGTAGCCAAGTCTGGACTTTTTAACCCTGCGCCTACTCTGGCCAAAGTTGGGTCTATTGGAAACTTCTGGGAAACTGGAATTTTAAACTGAGAGACATAGCAATAAAGAGATTGGTAGCTGAGTTCCTTTCAAAGACAGTACTCTAAGTCTTGTACCCTTGCTCTTGAAGGACCCCAGAGGTGGGGTTGGCTCCTGCCTGCTGGCTACAGCTTGGTCTTTGAGCCCTTTCTGGAATTCTGTAAGATCTCCAAGCCTTTGTCCAATAATTCCTCTCCAGTATTTTCTTTTTTATGTTTATCTCAATGTGATTAGGTTCTTTTATGCAGCTAAATGAATCTTACCTGGTACAGTCTCCTCAGCAAAACGGGTAGAAATCAGTTGGAGGGAACGAGCCAAAACACTTTACCTATCTCATGGATTACACTGTAGCTAAAATTCCTCTCAAGGTCTAACAGTTTTTAAGTCAGTAAGATACCACACATTTGTTTTTAAACTGTATTGTTAAATGCTCTTTAATTTAGATTTTTACTAATTTAAACCAACTCATCAAACTTATCTCAATTACTAAATTTTATCATATCCATTTATACATAAATATAAAGAACGTATGTAATCTTCAATGACACCTACTATCGTTTCTGCTAGACACATAAATAAAACACACAATAGGCAAGGGCTAGTTTTTCAGACTATACAGAGTAGCAAGAGCACATTACAGATTAGTAAAAATACCTTGATCCTAAGGCGATGTAATTTCTAAGCTAGAATTTATGAGCTTCATCAAAGTAATTGATGTTCTGGTGGTGAGAAATGAGCTCCCACGACCCTGCTGCTTGGAATCCCCCTGGGTCCAGGAGTAAGAAAGGGCTTCAAGATCCTTGTGCTGTCAGTCTCCCACCACTTGATTTCACATATATTTCAGCAAGCTCAACGATATAATGATTTAGGGACATGGTATCTGCTTTTCCATATTAAAACTCAATCTTATTGAAGTATTTTTCAGAGCTACAGAAATAGGTTTTGTTTTTTGTTTTGGTTTGGTTTTTTGTTTGTTTGTTCTGAGACAGGGCCTCACTCTGTCGCCCCAGGTAGAGTGTAGTGGCATCACTGTAGCTCACTGCAACTTCAAACTCCTGGATTCAAGAGATCCTCCCACCTCAGCCTCCCAAGTAGCTGGGACTACAGACAAGTTACCACGCCTGGCTAATTTTTCTATTTTTTATAGAGACCCGGTCTCACTCTAGCTCAGGCTGGTCTCTAACTCCTGACCTCAAGCACTCCTCCTACCTCAGCTTCCCAGAGTGCTAGGATTACAGGCGTGAGCCACTGTGCCCAGCCACAGAAATAGGTTTTTGTTTATACTTTTTAAGGCTAAAGATACAAGGGGGACTTCTGCAAAGCATACACTCAAAAAAAAAAAAAAAAAAGTAGATTCTTACTTTCCATTTCCAGGCACAGTAATCTCTTATTTAGTTTACTTTTTACTGAATAAATAAATAATAGGAGAACTAAGCTAAAGGACATAGCTTCAAACCTGCTTCAAACCAGACTGGTTGAATCTTACAGAAACATTAGGGCCTCTAAGAAGTCAGCTGCTGAGCAAACTATCAAGACACATAGATTTAAAAATTAAATAAATAACTGCTGTACTGACATATTGGATGTGATTTTACTGTGATTTGTTTGTTTCAGAGTAAACTTCTGTTGTTATAAATTAATAGGAGCAGAAGATCTTTCTCAGTATCTTCCTTTACTAGAAACACTACGAAAAGTAACATTATCACCATGAGAAAGACAGCTGAAAACATTTTTCATCATCAGGATATATTTTGCAAAAGAAATAAAACCACAACTGCAGTGAGCAGATATGTTCATCTCTCTTTTTATCCAAAGAGATAGTCTTTGGATAAAAATAATTCTACAGAACTTGAAGTAGAAGTAGGCTATCGGCGGAGATGAGACTAGAAAAAGAATCAGTCAAAATAATTCCATTATGTCTCCTGTTAACACGTATGACTGCTAAGATCTTTTCTATTATTATTTTCCTTACATATGACAAGAGTATCAATTTAAAATTCATTCATTAAGTTACATACCCTGGACTCTGCATCATCTTCTTCTTCATCAGGATTATAAGCTTCTGCACATACTATAAACATAAAAATGGACATTTTAAAGATTCTTTCATCAAAAGCCATGCTACAATAAATACATCTTTAAAAATGAATGAACAAAAAGAGTACCATGGTATAAAAAAACATTAATTCACCTCATCCAGGGCAGACTACCCCTCAAAACTGGTTTCATATTGTAATGTATAAGGAATTTCTTTAAAAATAAAGTTGTATTTTAAGACATTGACAATTGCTTTTTTGCTTTCTCCTACTCAGAGAAACATAGCTTAAACCCCTTTTTCTTCATTTCCAAGCATAGAAATGCATAAAAAAATAAACATTACCTAAAAGAACAGAAACAAAAAAGTCTAAGTCTGCAATGAAATGATGCATTTAATCATATAGTTATGACTAACTTTCACAAATTATCCATAATCTAATCTTCCAGGAACAAATACTATTAACATTTTGCATACTCCATTTCGGTCTTTTTTATATTGCATATAAAAACCTGCTTTTTTCATTTAACGGTATAAGAATTTCTCGTGTCATTAGAAACATTTTGTAAATATTGTTTTGAGGATTGCAGATTATCATATGTTATAATTAACTACCTTCCCTAATGCCGAATATTTAGCTGGCTTTTGTTACAACAACTTTGTAATAAACATCTTCATGCATAAATATTAGTCTACATTTCAGATTATGCAGTAGGCATTATTCCCAAATGTTATTTTGGGAGGCTAAAAGGTATGACAATTTTTAGGGTATATTTATTACCATGTTTCTTTTCAGAAGGGTTATATCCATCCATTGTCCTAAAAAGAATATGTAAAAAGGCTCCTCTAACTGTTCAAGAGAATTCGATGTTACTGCTCAAAATCTTTGCCAATTTAAACAAAGAGAGGATTGGAATTTTCAAAAATTATTAAATTTGGACACTTTTCAAATGCTTATAGCCTGACTATATTTCTTCCTCTGTCCTTACCTATAGGAAATACTTGGTTTTCTTTTTGGCCTATGCTGATTTCTTAATACCATTTTATCTGTCGTATTACTCACATTTTATCCAAACTGCTTTTTAATAAAGATAACTACAAAGTTTTTACAGATTATGCATGTTTATTTTTAATGTAGTGACATCTATATGGAAGAAAATCCCCCAATGTGATTTAAACCTGATGTTAAACATCACAAAAGTACTACTGCTTTTGAGCTTGGAAACCTTTTCCTTATTTGCAAATCTAAAGATTTGTTACTTCTCTTTTCTTTCAAGTTTTTTAAAGGTAGATCTTTCTACATTTATTCTTTAACCCATATGGAGTTTATTCTGGCACGGATATAAAAATGTAAAAAACAAAGGATAAATGAAAGGCTGACAAATATCTTCCCAGGGGCCTCAGAATATTATCATCGTTAGTACCACTATTATCATTATTATTGCAAAACCTGTGTTTTCTTTTCTCCAGGCACTGTTCTACACACCTAGACCAGTGGTTCCTAACGAGGTCCAATTCTTCAATCCACAGAAAACACCTGGCAATGTCTGGAGACATTTCAATTGTCACAATTGTGGGCGTTTGGGAGAAGCTATACTGGCATGTAGTGGGTATAGGTCAGGGATGCTGCTAAACATCCCACAATGCACAGGACGGCCCCAACCCATCCCTGCCACTATCCTGAACAAAGAATCATCTGGCCCCAAATGTCAACAGTACTGAGGCTGAGAAACCCTGATATACGGTACATTATCTCATTCAGTCTCACCAGCAGCCTAAGGTAGATGTTAATGTCATCACTTGACAGATAAGGACAGAGGGAGGCCAAGATCGCACACTGTAGTAGGTGATAGGACCCACAATTGATCCCTGGATTGTCTGTCTCGACTCCAGAGCCCTCACTCTTAACCACTGTTCTACACTTGACTACTTTGGTGAATTCACCAGCACAATTCCGGGACTTGAGCCTTTTGTCTCAGAAATCTAATAGAAGCAGACCAATCAGGCAGGAGCAGGCTCATATTAAAGGACCTCACTGAAGCACATAACCAGAATGCCAATGTAGTAACCAGCTTCCTGCGTGAAGGACAGTGTCAGCATGACCAGCCAGACCTCTCCCTACAGGAAAACACAGAAGCAGCCAAATCACAATTAAAATGTTGTCTGATGAGCAGGAAAGGAGAAGGAAAAAAGACTGTCAAATAAATGGAATGTTTAATGGCAACAGGCTAGACAGCCTGAGGCATCCACACACACAGTACAGATGGCCCTGCTAATGTGGCTGGAGTAGTTGAATTCGGTTGGCTGCAACCCTCCAGAGGGCATGAGGACATCTACTTCTAATGCCTGGCTCTGTAACTCCCCGTCTCTATGGATGACCAACCTCATAGGCAGGACTGCTACTTCATTTGTAAGGCCCAACACAAGAAGAAAACTTGTCGGCCCCAAGTTCAAAAATTAAGACTTTACAGAGGGCAACATTAAACCAAACTCAGGGCCCTTGTGAGTAGGAGCCCATGAAGTTGGCCCTGACACAGTCAATGAGGTGATGTAGTATGGTGGATACTTGTTTCTGTAAGGTAACTTGTATATCTATATCTCCTCTGACCCATTAGTGTTGATCTTAAATTTTAATTCACAGAATGCAAACGTAATTCTCTAATTTCTAAGTTTCTAGTCCCTAAGCCCTGACTAAAAGTCATGTGGTATTAAGAATCTATTATTTTTCCAAATAGCTCATCAGTTACCCTTGTATTATTTATTTCTTAACACTTTTGATTTGTGATACACGCTTTATTACATAGTATGTTTGTTTCTGGACTGTTTTTTTCAATTATTTATTGTGTCAATATTACAAGGATTTGGTTCTTGGCATTTATGGTACAATTGTTCCACTGGATTAGAATTCATCCACCGCCACCTCCTATAGCCAAATCAAAATAAAGCACTTGTAATTTTGTAAAGCTATCATGGTGCCTTATAGCTCCTTATCATGGCTTAAACCGTTTCCTCTAACTGGAACTCCCTCCACATTCTCCTTTGCAACCCACCCCTTCTCTCCAGCCCCAACTAAAAAGTCAGATCAAGAGTCACATCTTGACCTCTCACCTATACAGAACTAATTCAGGAAACTCCATTTCTGTGCTCATCCTTTGCACTCTCCCAATAACTCTCCCACTACAGTGGGGAGAGCTCGTTATTATCATTTACCATACTATAACACTTTCAAAGATGTTATGATCTGCTTGCCTCTCCAGGCTGGGGCTTGTAGCCCTCCAGGGACCAACTGTGTGCCCTTGTTCACGTCTGCATTTCCCTAGCATTGACCTGGCACGCTGCCGAGCTCAATGTACATTTTTTTGAATGAATGAATGAATGATAAACAAATAAGCTTGCAAGGTCTTGAGGGCAGAGATGATACCTCTTTTTAATATCTCACCATAGTGTATCCATATTACAAACTCTTAAATGCATATTGAATGAATAAATGAAAAATTGCTCTGTGTCAGAATGTCCTACGCTATTTGTCCAAGAAATTAGGACAGAGAGGATGAGTGAAAATGAGAGCCTTTTGTCCTATTCATCAAAAGGCCTGGCAAAAAGATTAGGAGCTCAGTAAATATTTGTATAACAAATAAATGAATGAAAGGCTCTATGCCTGGACGGTCACTCAAACCAAAGCCTCCAGATAACTTGTACTGCCTCATATTCTTTCTGTCATGAATTTGTCCCATACCTCCTGGACAATCTGAAATTTAGCTTGAAACTATATACTTCATTTTTAGCAATTAAATAGTGGTGGGGGGCAGAGCGTTATTCTTTAAGTAAACCCTATATTAAGGTTTCCCTCTTTTGCTGTGCATATATATGTATTTGGGTATTATACTGGTTGTTAAGAATGGTCCAAGAACTTAAGCAGATTCCCACACTGCAGACAGAGTAATGTATACTGGTGTAGCCAGACAACTGTCACAGACTGCATGACATAACAGGAAAATAAGAACTATATTGACTTTGCATTCTGTGGGACCTGGCCTTCAATCTTTTCATGCACTATATATACAGTGTGGTAGACAAGGGGTTATACCAACTCCCAGGGGTTTTCACCAACAGCCCCCTACAATTTGTTGCTAATGTTTAAAAATCAGTATAGTCAAAATAACTCTGCACTGGATGAGTCTACATAATCCATGTTATCATCCTGGCTAACGAAGAATAAAGGAACCAGGCTGAACTCCATGACTTGGCTCCTTCGCTCTGACACAGAGTCTTGCCCACAGTATACCTCAGTAAATACTCACTGAAGGAGTAAAAGGCAAATAAATATAGCCTGTATGGAACTGTGCGGTTTAGAGACCTTCAACCTAGAAAGATTGACTTCTATAAAATATGTAAAAGTTAATTTGCCAATGTTCTCAATACACCAAGATTTTAGCATACTTATTTAAATAATAATCAGCCTAAAATAAAGGTATTATAAAAGCACAGGTGTATCAGACAACAGGGTTCTGACTCAATATAATCAAACTTAGCTTATTGAAGTAGAAAGGCCCTCCTACAAAGGAAAAAAATTTATCTTGTACAAATATCAGTTTAAGGTATGCATTCTCAACCAAGAAAATTGGTTCTTAGGGGGCAAAAAAACTTATTCCTTTTTGTTTTTTTGTATAAAGCAGATATATACATTCGATACATAATTAGATACACAGTATAATTATGATAGTAAAATCTCACTGGGGGAAAATGGGGGGGAAAGTTTAAAGACTCAGGGCAGGGGAGCAATAATGAAAAAAACATTGAGAAACACTGGTATAAGGACCTAACAGTTATAGCTAAGTAAAGGGAAGAGCCACAGAGACAAGTTAATAGGCTTCCCCTTCTCCCATTCATTTACATTTCTGCCCAGGTAATTTGGTATAGACCTGTTCTCATCCATTAGTAATGATCTTGAATTTGAATTCACAGAGCAAAGGCATTTGGAGAACATGCCCCAAATATAGAAGTTCACAGTTTGATCCCAAATCACATTCAAGCAA